ATTGATTTTGATAATTAGATTGCATAGTCAAATCACAAAAAACTTCTCATAAGGATTATAACCATTGCATACCCAAGATGACATTGGCCCCATGGATGGATAGGATGAATAAATCTAAGTTGACCTGATAACTTTGCATAGTAATTGTGACAATTGAGCATTTAGATATACAAAACAAGAAATTTTTATTTCCTATTGAAACTTTAAATTGGTTGATGGGTTGAGGAGTAAGAGCCAAGCTGGTCAATAAGATTGGCTTGAATAAAATTATGGGTACTTAGACTATCAATTAAAATATGAACCTTTTGATTATTAATAGAGCCGTTTAAACATATCATCTGTCACACCCCATTTTAACCCTCACTAGTCAATCTAGAGTGCGACAGAGAAGGTAAATCTAAATAGACATCTTCTTATTTACCCCATTCTGAAAATGTTGATAACAGAATTAGATAAGTAAAAAGTAGTCTATTCAAATTATCCTCGCATCACTAATCATAACACAATAAAATTTTCATAATAGGAAGCATATATCATAAAATGTACATCTTAAAGAAAATATAGAGCTTTACTAAAAAAATTTAAACTTTATTTAAATATCCAAAAGTTTGCACAGCTATCATTCAGATCTTTTTCTACACCCAAAACATATGTACATTAAAAAAAATAGTTATTCCTTCAATGCCCTACGAGTTTTTTCCACTTCCCTGCAGTACAACCGCTGTTAATAAGTTATGACTAAATGAAAAACACAAGCAATGTATAAGAAATAATAATTTCTTGTTGTCTGTTTAATATCATTAAACAAATCATATGATGGCTATAAGCTTTTGCACCCTTTCAACTTTCTAATTTAAGGTTGGGTCAAGATTCTCAACTTTTAGAATTGAAACTGCTCTCTCATTCATGATTGAGCCTAAATTCTCAACTTCTAGAATTGAGAGTGTAGGCTTACTGGCTTACATCATCAGGTCTTTCGCCTTTACTTGTGTGGGCCTATCCTCCATATATGATTAATTTACTTTCCCAATAACAATCCTTTTTAGCCCCCATGATATATACTATTATAGACAACACTTTATGAATAATCATAGTCATGAATAAACTGAAGTAAATTGAAGTAAACTGAAATAAATGATACCAACCATAATAGATATGAATAGATATGAATTGAAATTAGAGAAAACATTTATTTATTCCTATAGCATTGTTGGGTATCTCACCTCGTTCTCTAGGGAAGTCGGGTCAATTCGTTCTCCTAAAGTACCCCCGCCTCCTTTCCTCTTATATACAATCTAAATTATAATTGTTGATCATTCAAATCCACATTCAAATAAAATATAATAGTTTATATGAAAACCTTATAAGTTTACCTCAAAGAAGTTTCTCTTCATTCATCCCAAAGTGACCTCTCTTCTCCTAAGCCTCTATTCACTTCCCCTCCTTACAATCAGCATTTAGCCACATTTGAATTTAGCAACAACCCCTCTTTCTTACTGTTTTCAATAAACAACAGCATACTTACTTTCAACAAACACCTTTACCTGTTTCAACTTATCACCGATTTCATGACCTAAAAGCAACTTTATCCCTCATTTTAACTGATTTTTCAGCACACCACAGCAGCCTTTATCCTTTTTGTTTCTACTGGTTTCAACAGTTTTCAACACACAATAGACCTACAAATTTCAACAAACTTTCTTCACCAATCCTTCAACAAACAACTATACCTCTTATCTGATTTCAGCAAATTTCTAACTTGATTTCAGCAATTTCCTAAAACAACAATATTTCTTAATTGATTTCAGCACTTTCCTAACCTGATTTCAGCAATTGCCTAAAATCTGAATTCTCCCATAAGCTTGCGGCAGCTCCAACCCTTCAGCCTTCACGCCTTTTTCCCCATGTATAGTCTCCAGCTCCCTTGTTCTCTATTTCGGGTAGGTAGGAATTAGAATGGGAAATGGGAAGGATAAGTGCTTAATATATTATGATTAAATATCCACTAACCCTCCACTATGCCCTTTTAGAGCTTACCAGCCACTTGATCCCTTGTCGCTCTCAATTATTACCCCTTTGTATTCAAGCATCCAACTCTTAATATACTCCCTTACCGAGAAAACAGCTTCCAACGCAAGCTGAGCAATGTCCCAATGAATTTTGTTCTCCTCAAAAGCAATTATGAATCTTCCCTTGTAATCTCTGAAAATGCCACCGATTCCAGAGCAGTTAGACCTAAGCAATGAAGCATCAACGTTGATCTTCATCCAATCTTTCGGTGGAGGGCACCAAGATTCTAATCCATCCCTCCTTATTGCACTTTCGTCCTCGAAATTCATTATTCTGAGCAGTTATCAAACAGATGAGAAAACTTCATCCTAATATCTTCTTCCCTTTCCCAGGTTGCCTCTTTTTCTGGCATGTATTTCCATTTCACCTTAACAAAACGAATTTGACGGTTTCTGAGATGTTTAGTATCAAAATCTACTATTCTTTTTGGTTCTTCAATATAAGTCAAATTCTTCTCTAGTTCAATTTCATCATGTGAAATTTTCTGATTGGCATCTGTTACCCATTTCCTTAACGGTGACACATGAAAAACATTTTGAATATCTGACATGTCAGTTGAAAGACTAAGTCTATATGCAACTTTTCCAATCCTTTCAATAATTTCAAAAGGTCCTATGTACCTAGGGTTCAATTTGCCTCCATGTCCAAATCTAGCTGTATTTTTTACAAGCTTAACCTTTAAGAATACAAAGTTACCCACTTCAAATTCTACTGCTCTGTGTTTGGGATCATAATATTTTTGCTGGCGATCCCGAGCAATTTTTTATCTGTCTAGAAGTTAAGATCACAAAATAATCAATTATTCAAGCATAGCATGCACGAAAGATTTTCAATGAGAAATCCCTAAATTAACAATGAGATTAGGTACCATGAGAATCAACTCACTCAATTGCTAGATTACTAGGCTTAGCGGAGGAAGTTAACACAACATTTATGAATCAAGTATGACCACAATTGAGAGCAATTTGGAAGATATAAAATTTGGAGGAAGAGTTCACCTTCGTAAGGGTTTGGAAATAATCTGCCACTGCACGGAGGAGAGTTGGTCGTCGATGGCTTCGGCGAGTGTGAAGACGATCCTCTCTACATAATTCTCTACAGTTTGGTCAATCTCCAGGTTGAGGTCGAAGAACGGCAAGTTGAGGATATCGACGTGCCTTGGTCGTCGTAAACAAACCCGTGATCTTGTTCAGGATCCGCCATATATCAGTGGACAACAACTTCAAGGTTCGAGAACCTTTGGATAACGATCAGAGACTACTCCAATTGTCTGGACAACAAGGAATAATGCAGGAACTTCTGGACAACACCTGATTTATTACTGGAAAACAAGCAAGAACTATTTTGGACAGCAATATTGCTGGTCTCGGGAGTTCTGGACAACAATCCCTTGGTCCAGAAATCTAGACAGCAGTTGTGGGCTGATCTAGGTGGCTAGGATTGATGTGGCTGGTTATGGGAAAGGGAACATATCCCTTAAATGACAAGGTGAATAATTGGGGGAGGTAATAATGGAGATTGAATGAGAAAAAGGAAGGGAGGGGAGAGGGGAGGCCGGCGGGGAGAGGTGGGGAAGGGTGTGGGGAATTTAAGGGAGTTTCCAAACTTGAATTAAGGAATAAGGAAAGGGAAAATCAGGATAGATTTCTAATTAGATTTAATTGTGAGCATATAGGAAAGTTTCCTAACATAAGTTATCCTATTTTACGAAAGGATCTCAAATTCAAATTGATTTGAATTTGAAATTTGAAAAACTTTCTTAAATTAAGATGTGGAATAGATGGAAAGTAGTAAATAGGAATTTGAGTTTTGGAGGCAAGGGGATGGGATGGGGCCGGCAGCTAGGGTTAGGGTTAGGGTTAGGGTTTAGGATTGGGTTTTGATGTATGGGCCAGCAGCTATGGAAGAGGGGCAAAGCCCTTTGTGGCCGGCAGTTTGGAGGTGGAAGAGGGGGGCCGGTTGAGTTGTAGTGGTGGTGGGGTTCGGCTGAGAGGGGGAGGAGGGAGTTATGGCTGGCGGTTTAGGGAGGAGGGAGGGGAAGGATTGGAGGAAGATGAAAACCACAAACCCGGACGCTTACTGCGGTTGGTGGGTTCTACGCCACCCTACCAAGGGACTTCTCCTTCTCACAAGAACTCTAAGCTCTCAAAACACAATTGCTGAAAATTTTCATAATATTCTTCATTCCCCTCAAAAGAGGTGAAGGTGGGTTTTAAATAGCCTCATACAATGAAGAAAAATAAAAGACCAGCATGCTCTTAGGGCTTACATATGACTATCCCCTCAAATGCGGGTACAAACGGAAAAATTGCCGAAATAAATCAAATACATAAAATGTTTCAAAAATAAATCGGTGCGATCATGGCCATAGATCGTCGGCCACGTCTCTGGTAGACTCTCCAAAGTCGGATGTCCTCATTACTTTCCTTGTTTCTGGTGTGCTTGATGCCAGCTAAGAGACTATTTCAACAATTTGGTTGCCACAAAGACATTATTTGGGCATGGTAAAAAATTTTAGGGCAGTGAACAAATATACTGGGTATTATCTCAATTATTTTGGTTAGTTCTCATATTTACCCCTTTATTGTCCGCCACAACTTTTTGTAGCAGTATCTGATGTTCTTTCGTTGAAGTGTTCTGGTATCCTTAAGCTATCCCTCAGATTCAGCTTTCTTGTCACTGCATCCAGTGCGCTGCTAGACACTTCCCAGGCATATTCTGCCTTGTTGTGGACAGCACTGGCAATCATCATGTAAGGGTTCAATTTGTTCCATTGATGCTGATGCTCATGTGTCTCTTTCTTGATCATTACAAGCTTTGAGTGGTGAACAAAATAAAAAAAAAAAAAATGGCGTATTTGGTAACTTGGAAATGGCAAAATAATCACTTCCATAGAGATGCTGATGCTTTCTATTTTTTGTGATGAACAGAGGCGGTACAGGCGATGGCTTTGGTGGACCAGATTTGGAATGTTTGTCAATGCATTGCAGTTTGTGATGGCGCTTTACCTGATGTATATTATTATGAAGGATTTTGCCAGGGATGGTGGAGATAATGTGTGTTTTCTAGGTATGTTAGTTTTTGTTTATGAACTTTTCCTTTCTTCTTTTTTTGCACCTGCTTCGTTTTGTTTGAATTCAACGAATTTGAATGAAAGCAAATGAAAAAAAGACTTCAAAGACTAGTATTAATAACTGGAGTTTTACTTTGAAGCCATGGTTTCCTTAGTCTACTTTCATTCGCTTTCAGTGCAACATGGTCGCAGGTTCTTATTGAGATGATTGAATGAAGTGCTTAATCCCATTCGGCTGAGTGTTTTGGTTATTCAATGTGAAACGAATAAGACTATTTAGGGCATTGAAAGTGGACACAACTTAAGTGGTGTGCTCTATCATTGACTCTCGAATGCGAACAGGATTCATCCAATTGAAAAGAGGCAATTAAACTATATATATATTTGAGTTCAATCCTAGATTAGATAGCTAAAAAATATGTTGGTGTAGAAAAGCCAAGTTTTTGACCATTTCCATTAGACCCAACTTACGTTTCCATTTGGTTCATATTCTCTAACAAGTACTATTAGAGCTAATGATTTGACTGGAATTAAGTAATTCATGTAATTTGTGGTTCCCATGAATTTTTGGTGTCATTAACCATGTTTGAGCTATGTTCAAGAGAGTTGGCGATTCCTACAATAGCTTGGCATCATTGAATGAGCTCTTGGTGTATAATACCTGGTGATGTTCATTAAAAAGAAGTGTTCTGTGGGGGGAGTAATAGATGATATGAATAGCTCTCATGTATGGGGATGATTGTTAAGGTCCGTGAAAGTATCATATTTAGTTCTACATCTGATATTGGTAAAAGATATGTTGGTTTAGAAATATTAAGTGGTTGATCCCCTCCCATAGATTTACCTTTTGGGTTGGAAACTAATTTGATTATTGGTGTATATTTGACTCGACTTTGCTTCCTTTTGTAAACTCCCTAATACTTGCAATCATTTTTCTTTTAATCTGTCTGCTTGCCATTGCCATTGGCCAGGTGGGATTTATTTAAAACCAGAAGATAGGATTTATTATCATTCAATGAACAAGGTACGATACAAAGCAATAGCAAAGCATTGCTAGATGAAATGAAGAGCTAAAACAAAATGCATCGATATGGGATTATACTGACGCATCGATCTACATAGGGTTTGGCTGGCTATAAAATTCCTTACAGTGCTGTGAAAGATTAAGCAGAAATGTATTTGCTTTTACATTGAAATGTCACCATGTTTTGCATGCCTTTGTAGTTTTTGGCATTTATTTTATTCAGTGCATTATTTTTCATAAAATAATTTCTTAAAATCACTCATTGCATTCAATGAACAAGGTACGATACAAAGCAATAGCAAAGCATTGCTAGATGAAATGAAGAGCTAAAACAAAATGCATCGATATGGGATTATACTGACGCATCGATCTACATAGGGTTTGGCTGGCTATAAAATTCCTTACAGTGCTGTGAAAGATTAAGCAGAAATGTATTTGCTTTTACATTGAAATGTCACCATGTTTTGCATGCCTTTGTAGTTTTTGGCATTTATTTTATTCAGTGCATTATTTTTCATAAAATAATTTCTTAAAATCACGAGAGAGAGAGAGAGAGAGAGAGAGAGCTAATCTTATAAACATTAGTTAGAAATAAAATAAAATCTTTAGATTGCAGCTAGAGAGAGAGAGAGTGATTCCTTTTCATGCATGAAGTCAAGCTATCAAACAAACATTAGTTAGAAATAGAAGAATATTTTAGACTAGTTAACTTGGAGAATATTGTAGGTGGCCTTACTAGTGGTATAAATCATGCAATGTAACTAATCCTACTAATTTGTCGAGCAGAGGTTGTGGTCAGCATTGCTATTAGAATTGGGCCATTGATAGTAGAAGCCACTCATATCCTTGAAATTGGTATAACTGCATTAAACAACCATCTTAAAGGTGGAGTTGTCCCATAGTAGTTGCGTAATGAGATTTGATCAACCCATTTTGAAGCTTAGGTGATACATTCCCTTCTGGCAATGTGTTGTAGCCCTCAAACAGGTTGAGTGGCCCATTATTATAAATTGACATACTTATTAAGCAGTAGCCATGGTAGAAACATCTTGGTTCTTCAAGCTTCTATGGCGCAATCTGATTATCTTCTCTTCATGTTACTTAGTTGTAGTTGTATTTTCTTACCACATCATCTTCATTTAATCTTCTGATATTTTAGTATCTGCATCTAATCTTTCTGAGTATGACGCCTAGCCTCTAGGTTACATGAATAATCCTCTTGGGTTCCCATCGGATCCTTTGTTAACCCCATATGATCCTAATAGGTACGTACATCATTGTCTTCTTGGGTATTCATTGCTTCATCTTGGGCTCTTACTTGAACTGGCAACTTCAACATCTTCAGATTCTAATCTCTCTGGATATAAGGATGTTGCCTAATTGTTTGCTCAAGTAATTGATTAAAAAATAACTAAAATCTTTCCACATTCTCTTTTAGTATTTTATGAGTTGATGTGAAAAGGTTGGAAAACTTTAACTATGATTTTTAGAAATCTTAGCTAATGGGTTGGAACTAATGTTCTGATACCAAATTAATTCAAAACGAACAAGAAATGTAACATACAACAACAAAAACAAACCTTTATCCCACTATGTGGGGTTAGCTGCATGAATCCTTTTTCTCTATTGTGTCCTGTTAAGAATCAAATTCTTATCTAAATCTAATAAATAAGGTCATATAATTGTAATTAAAAAACTAATTGGTTTTGGAATTATGATGAGGAAGCATATGGACTTGATTGGATAATGTCCTAGGGCTTTCTTGAAGCCTTAGGTTTTCCTTCAAGCTTTAAGAAACTAACTCTAGGGTTTGATGAAGATCAATGTTTTTATGTTTTCCCTACTAGAAGTTTTCATGCAAGTAGAGGAATGAGGATTTCAATAGCCATGTAAGGTTTTTATTCCCTATTCAAGAACCATGAAAGATTTTTGGTGATTATCACTATAAAAAAATGATTGATGTTCACAGTTAAGAAGGAGATTAATCTAGAAAGATATTTTGAGATCAAATGAATCAAGTTGATAGAGGATCATAGAGAATGAAAGCAAAACATAGAGATGCAATGATTTGTAGTGGTTTGGTGTTACTGATCTCTGCCCACTATGGCAAGGTCGGGAAAGATTTCACTATTCTTCATGACAGGCATCATGAGAGTTACAAAGCTTCGAGAATATCCAATATCTTAAAAACTGTCCACACATAATTCCTTACAATTTGATTTTATTGGATCTCCAGTAGGCGTAGGCGTTCAATATAGCTAATCCTTGTGAAACAAAATATTATACTTTAATGATCGGATGTTTCCCTCTGTCATAATGGAGAGCTGAGAATGGATGTCGTTATATAGAATGGTCAAATTGGAATAAATAGCATCGAAATTACCTAATTTGAATGTACTTGATGTTAATGATGAGTGGTTAGTGATGCTAGGCTGATGAAATGTCTTAGATGTTCGTTGAATCGAAGTTGAATGAAAAGAAGTATTTGATTGAGCAGATTGATCAAAGTGAATTTTTTGAGTGGAGTTGCCAGACCACAATGCTTAATTTGTTCCATCATTTATGCCTAAGACATTTAATTTTGATTTTTATGTTCAATGTAGGTGTTGACCTCATTTTTGTATGAGGTCACTAGGACTTTTCCCAGACTCTAGAGCAATCCTGACCCTGATCAATCTAGCTTTCAGATCAACCTAAACTCTAGGATTATCCTAGATCCAGACCTTAGGATCTATTCTAGGTCCTAGGATCCTTCTAGACTGCAGACCTTAGGATCTACTCTGGACCCTAGGATTCTTCCAGACCCTAGACCCTAAGATTTTCTTAGACCCTAAGATCCTTCTAGATTATAGACTTTAGGATTACTTAGACCCTGGACCAATCTTGGTCCTAGGATCAATCCAAATTCAAATCAATTTAGACTCTAAGCTCTAATTCAAACCTCAAGTTAAATCAATTTTCAAATCAAATCTAGACTTCAAACCTATCAAGACTTTAAACCTATCACGATTCCAAATCTAGTTCAAACCTTGACCACACCTTTGATCTAGCTCTACCCTAAACCTATCACTTATGATTATCCAAATGATCATGAATGATATGGATAATTCAAATCCAGTCATTCAAACTCAAAACCCAATTCAAATCCAGAAATCCAGACTCAAATCCAAGGCCAAAGGTCCAAGTCCTGAAAGCCTTTTCCAAGGATTTTTCAAACACTTCAAAACCCAGTCAAAAGACCTCTGATTCAGAGTCTATCACTTGCTTGCAAAGTGATAAGACATGTCTCTAGAGGTAACCCTCCAAATTTGAGCACATTCTGAGGTCTCTAACCCCATAAACTAAATCAAAATCCAAAGGCTGAATAACCTTCAAATATTTACGGCCCATGCCACTAGACTTTCCACCCGGTGGATCCTGGCCTTAGAGCTTTCTCCAAAGCCTCTAATCACTTCCAAACCCTTAATCCTGACCCATTAAGCATTAAACTGTATTTTGGTTGATCCATTTTGACCCCTAGTTGACCAGAGGTCAAAATGACCAAAATGCCCCTTAAGGGTAATTTTGAAGTTCTCACATGACTTCAATATGCCCTTTTCAAATCAAACCCCAGGACCTCCTCCAATGTATCCTAGTCACCATTAGGAACACATTGGACTCAAGCCCTGAACCTGGTTAAACCTGGTTGACGAGATCGACCTTTATGACCAAAATACCCCTATGAGACTCAAATACCTATTTCAAACCAAATGAACTCTAAATCGCTTGCAACCACTTCCAACAAGTTTCAAATATCAAACCCAACCTTTTGGACCCAAACCCAGACCCTGAGTCAACATGGTTGACCAAACAGGCCCTTAAGGGTCAAAACAGACATTTTGACTGTTCGATTTATGTCCACTATCAACTATGTTGAAATAGACTCAAATAATGAGCTTTTTGAGGTGGGTATTCCTAAATGATTGTTGACTTCTAAATCTATTGCAAAATATAAATCGATGAATGCGACAAAGATGGCAGACACCGAATATAATATTGCGTGAAATCATTTTAAGATGCCCCATGTGCATCAAAATTATTAAAAAATGTCATCTATTCTACAACGCGGGCTACACCAATGTATTTGAAGCATCAAAATCATTAAAGGGGGACTCTCAAGATCAATTTGGCTGGACGTGATGAAAATGACAAATGATGAACATGACTTCATGCAAAATCATTCAAACATTTTTTTTTTTGCAAAACAAATTATGCCATAATGTTTTGAAAGGTGAAAAATACCCAACAAGAACTACACCAAATTGCTACGCGATAAAAATGGCAAACAATGAATGCGTTGTCAAGCAAAAATCTCTCAATCACTGCCATTTCCGCAAAATGGAGTGCGGCGATGTGTCCAAAATGTCAAAAATGTTTGGAAGGACACCCATATTGCTTGGGTCGTTGCACAAGGTAGTAATGAAAATCCACCCACGCTAGAATCGAGGATGAAATTCGATTTGTGTGGAGGATGAAATTCAATGTGTGGACAATGAAACTTGGCGAGGTGAATCAGTACACAATTGAAATAAGGATTTTAATTTAAAAATATTATTATTATTGTTGTTGCTAAAATTTAATTTAAAATTATCATTTAAATTTTAAATCTATTAAATAAAGGAGGATTTATCAACTCATGCTGGCAATGATCTAGCTCACCATTTAAAATCATTAGTTTTAATTTGATGTTCTAAATCATTTTATGTTACCAATTCTCTTTGAAGGCTATAGTTTTCAAATATATAATGAGATCATTGGTTGCTTTGTATTTCTAATGCAAGTTATTGTAGAAATCTTGGCTACTTTTTTTTTTTTTTGGCATTTTAAAACATGAACCAATCATACATTGCACTTGGTGTTATAGGGAAAATTCTATAGGGTTTCAAACATATAATGAAATCATTGATTAATAACTGTTTGTAATACATGCTGGAGAAATCATGAGTACTTTTTTCCTTTTACTTCAAAATGAATCAAACTGAAATTGTAGTTCCAGACGTTGGGGTAAATGTTGTAGATGTAACGAAAATGTTCTTTCATGAATTCTGGGTGTGGCATTGAGTGTTTTTCTTCTCGTCAAACTAAATCCAACGATTAGTGTAATATGATCTAAAGGTTAATTGTCCTCATCAACTCACTGTCTATGCATGAAGAAAGAGTAGCTTTAAACAAAATCTTGAGATATAGCTACAAATGTTGGCGAAATCTTGTAAATTTATTTATATGTTGTAATATCCTTTCAGGCCATCAGAGGGAAGATACAGGGAAAAAATTCTTGATGGCTACATTTCTTGCCCTGGTGTGGCTTGTGGTCGTCATCCAGTGTATCACAGGATCTGATGTCCTAAGATGGAGATCATTCTATGCAACCCAAGATAGTGCCTGGAAAGTTCATTACAGTGAGGTGTTTGATCATGGCATTAGGGAGGCTTTATGCTGCTTGGGACGTGTGAAATATCTGTATGATTCTCATTTTCAATTTTCTGATTTAACCTATCCATTAAAAAGGTGGATGTTTTATTCCATGGGCTTTTTTTTTTATTAATTTCAGGAGTGTCTTGGAAGAAGATGAGGTATTCTCCGTAGCAAGATTATTAGGTGATCTTGTGGCTTATAGAGCCACAGGCACTGGGCATTTAGAGCTCTTGGCAGGCAGGTTAAATGCCTTTCTTTTGTCAAAGTAGATACTAATCATTTATATGAGTTGTTGTTTTTTAAGTACTGCTGTGTTGCGTAAGGTACAAATTATGCATATATATTTATGAGAGACCATTCATCTTATCAACTATTAAACTTGACAAAGATTTAGGCATCGTTTGAGACGACTTTTTTACTGCTTCTTGAAGCAGCTTTCTAATAAAAAAAATCAATTTTTATACTAAAAAGTTGCTTCAAGAAGCAGTAAAAAAGTTGTCCCAAACGAAGCTTTAGAAAAAATCCAATCCACTATTTTCATGTTAATAAAGTTACGTACCATCTTGACTTAAGCACGCGTCGAGCTTCTGTAGAAAATTGAGGGAAAACTTTCATACTGCAGAGCACAGTTATCATTGCTTATTTGATCTATAGCTACACCTGTGTACCGTCAAAATGTTCACTTTTTCCGTTCACAATGAAAACTATTTATGATGAATGAAAGTTACTTTTTTGTTTTCAAAATTTATTTATTACATAGTTATTTTAAATTTTCATGTCTTCATCAGTTTACCCGTTTAGATTTTTCTCTCGTAATGAGCTTCCATAATTTGAGTCTTGAATCATTGCACATTTTATAACTGGTCATTCAGCAAATAACGCACAACATAAATTCTAGTTGGTATTCCCTATCCGAGTTGCTAATTTTCAATGGACTAGAATATATTATATGTTTTATTAACCATTTTAGCTCCATCAAGTTGATGGCATTCATAAAAGGCATGCCTTCAATTTGTAATGTTGTTCTTCTATCATTATAAGACAAGCTTTTCCGCTGTTTCTTCTTTTTTCCTTGCTATTCTGGTTGAAAGAGTTAATCACATCCTGTGTTCAATTGCATGACTGAATCGATGATATTAGTTAAAATAGAAAAATCTAAAAATGTAATTGATCTTGGTGTTACTATTTTTTCTTTATCATGCATCAATCTTATTGCCTTAACCATTTTAATCTTTTGACACCTTGTCTGTTTTATATTTTGCGTCCTTTTCAATTGTAATAAATTGAGGAGATTTTCAACATATAAATCCCTATGACTGATGTTTTAATTGTTATCTGGTCGATACGCATGTAGAAAGATTTATAAATATGAATTTATATTTCCTGTTTCAGGGCTTGCTCTTTTGCAGAGTCATAAACAACCTACAAAATCATACAACGAGGACATGGAAGCACCTTTGGCCCGTATTCAAGAGGCTAGAGTTCTTCATCAATTTGCTGAAGCTGCATATACAGTATGGTCGTGTGAACTGGATTCCTTTTGTTATCCAAAATGATAGGTGTACTTGACCAGTGTTTTTTGTAGGGACCTTTGCTTGATTTCGGAAGGAATACAGTTCTCTTTCCATGCTCATGGCTCTATAGACAAGGAGTTCTGACTCCCTGGACTCACAACAGGTTCTGATTGCATTATCAATCATTATTGCTGTAAAATTATAGCTGTGGATTACAATAATTAAGGCACCAATCAAAATTTTTTGCTATATTTGAAGCTAAAATGCCTGCATAAGGATTGTTCTTCTTTTTGGTATTCATTTTTTTTTTATGATAGTGATATCGTTAAATATCATTGCAGGCGTCCTATACTTGAAGGTGACAATTGGTGGCGAGGGCATGCTGCGGCATTTTTAAAGTGTGCTAATTTGTCCCCACAAGCTCTTCAACGTGGCCGTGTTATTCAGGTAAGATCACATTTTGTTTTTTTCTTCAGTAGTTATTGTTTGCCATCTATCAAAAAGTTAAATGTCTTTAAGTTGATAAGTTGGATGAGCGATTAATCTTGACATTTATTGTTAGAATCTTTGTATCATGTGTCAATAATATTCCTATCAAGATTTATTATTATATAAAACATCGGCTTTTACGTGAGGAAGCTTAGCCGGATGAGTGTCTTCACTCTTAAAGACAAAATGAGAAACAAGTATATACGTGAAAAGGTTGGAGTAGCTCCAGTGGCAGATAAGATTAGTGAGAGTCGTCTTAAATGGTTTGGACACATAAAATGTCGTTCGTCCAATGACCTGATTAGGAGATAAGATATATTGGATATGGCCTAGGTAGATGTAGAACTAAAAATACTTGGCTAGGAAATATTAGAAATGACCTTTTTATTAAATTTAAATATGAATTTAACTCTTAACATAACAAAATGGAGGAAAGTATTCATGTAGCCGATTCCACGTAGTGAGATAATGGCTTGATTTTATTGTAGTAGTGTAAAATACCAGCTTTCACAACTTCAACATAAATGAAAGAACAAGTTTGTGTATTTTAAATTTGTACATTTATAGAGCGATGGGGAAGTATGTTGAATAAAAAAAAGAAGAATGATGATAAATGAAATGAAATATAAAATTAGTTTACACGATTGCTACATGGTGCTCGTTTAATAACTAATATGACTATTGCCAATCTTTAGTACAGTTGTACAATAACTATAATATAACTACTGGAAATATTGAGCAATAATCAGCAGTACTAGTTTGGTTGAAACAACAATTTATTTCGTCCAACAACTAGCAGCTCTCAGGCATCTCTCCAACAAGCTCTCCAAAACAAACTCTCAACTCACTCTCTGGCTCTCAGTAGTAACCTCAATTGTAGCTACCTGGAAAGCTCTCTCAACTGCTGGTCACTAGTACCTTCAAACAAGGAAACAAAAGTTAGCATATAATTAATAAAATTAATAATGAAAAAAGTAAAGCTACTTCTAAAGCCGAAAAAAGTAACAAGCACACTACTGAAAGTTAGAGAAGAAAACAATTGCTGGCTAGTAATTGTCAAAACCACAACTGCTGGCTAATAAGTGTCAAAACAATGACTGCAGGCTAGTACTAAAACAAAGATGACAAAACAAGACACTGACACTGGTGTTAAAAAAATGAAGTGTGTAAAGCTATGTTCTCGTTAACCTAATCCCTATAGGTAGCTTCTAATGGAAGTAGTGAATCCTACTAGTGACTATTTCACTAGACAAATCTATTATGTGAAGTAATGGACATCTGAAACATCCCGACAATTTCTAATAGAAGCCGTAAGTCTGACTTTTGAGGAAAATGGCTTGGTAATAATATAACCCTAGACCTCTCACATGAGCATCCTAGTTTATAGAGCTAGGTTGTAAGACCCACTATACGGGCCACTTAACTTACAAAGCTAGGTCATAAGACCCATTATTAGACAACTTCTAAATCCATAGAAGCCGTAAGATCTGTCATTAAGGCTACTTTCAAATGAAAATCTTACGTCCCTACCTAAATCAAATTAAATGGGCTACTTTCAAATGAAAGCTATAAGCCTCGACCCAAATCCAAATTATGGGCAACTCCTAAACGGGGCCGTAAAACCTAATTCAAATTCAAACTATGGGCAACTTCTAAATGAAACCATAAGATTTACTTAAACTAAATAATGAATATATAATCACTTCAGCTTACTCAAGATTCTTGAGATGAGGTAACACATGACTGTTAATCAGATTCCTTAGACAGTATGATCAATGGTCGCTAGTGTTGGTAGACTGAACCCTACGGTATTCCTGGGATGATGGAACCATGAGATCTTAATCGGGTCTACCTTCATCCCCCCACAAACAGGATTTAAAACATTTACACACTGTTGCATACACATTTGTACTTCATGCATAGACTAAATATAATTGCATCCTTAATCGAGAGTGCTCTTCTACGCATTAGAAGGGATAATTAACTATGAGGGATTGCGTTCATAGGAAATAAGACCTGGATCTAAATAAAACCTGACACTCTCTCCGAGGAAATCTGGTTAATTTAAAATTCAATCTACCTCAGGAAAATAAGAACCTTAAGCTTGTGAGAGCGAGGTTCGCGCCTATTATTCTCGAGCGCCTATTATTCCTGAGCTAACAAAGTATAGTGACCATATGCAATTTTCATTGTAATGTAGGAGACTATTATTTGTTCATTTTGCCTCTTGTGATTTGAATTTTGAAAGGGCTCATAAATGATTGAATGTTTTACCAGCAAAGTTTGGTTTATTGATAATATCTTGTGAAGTTAGGATTCTATAGATAAGAAGTGTAGAATCCACTTGTATGATGTTTTTTTTTTTGTGGGCATGAATTTATTATTGGAAACTTAAACCCATTTACATGGACTATATTTCAAATAAGGGCAGCAATCTGCTAGTAACATACAAATGCAATCAACAAATAATTATTTTTCTTGCTATAAACGTAATATGCATTGATTTAGGCATTTATTAGCTATAAATTATGGCTAGATAGGTATAATGAATAAGTATTACTGTAAATATTCATAGATTAGAAAGATAATTATTTAGATTTATTAGGATAAGTTTGATTGAGCAAGTTACTCAATCACAGTCTTGTATGTCACCTTATATAATGAGTTTATCCCTCTAGAGGAGGGTAATCAATTTGTGCATGGCTCTATTGTCATGATATTCGGTCTAGGGCAATAAATCATCATTATCTTTTTCTCTCGAAAATATCGTATGAGGATAATGTTCTCTCTTTTATTTCACTCAAAGTAGAGATTAGTTTTTTTGTTTGTTCATAAGGGACTTGAAGAGATTGTGAGGATCCACAAGACTTGTCTTGATCTTGCTCAGCGAGTTACTATTTGTTTGTCAAAAATCCTGAAATGATCTCTTATTCGTACAAATTGCTTGTTTTACATGGGTCTCACTTCGCAAGTTCAACCTGACCTGACCTAGAGGTCACACGTTGTATGCCATGCGAACCCTAATTTGCAAGGGGCCACACGCTGTAGGCCACATGTTACAACATCGAAGCCTGATGTCATTACAACATCGACATTTCAAAACCATCTCAATATCAAAGTTTGACATTGTCTTGATATTAATGCTCGATGCTAGCAATTTATACACTCACAATTTGACTGCTCATCTTTATCCGATGTCTTCTTAACATTGATGACCAACGTCCTCTCAACATTGACAACATAAGCCCTCTTGACATCGACGCCTGATACTTACTGCATAATATCTGATGTAGAACGTACAAGCATGGATGATTAAACTAAGAAAGTTTGCACGCTTACATTTTAGAACACAATAATTATAAGCTTTGTCTTGATGATAGACGACAAAATAGAAATGATAAGGTGGTAAACTAGCTTAGGTCTAAGCACATGCGAGAGATTGAGATCATTAATTAATCAACTAAATCTTACGTTGCATACATGAGTGGTTTCAACAAGAATTCCAATACTAACAATAAGATTAGTCTATGAAAGGTCCCTCACACAACTCTTCTAAATACTAGGCTTTAGCGGAGATGTATTAACATTATCGTCATGAATTTAATAATAACCACAAGCAAGGATGTAACTATGAAGATAGAGAATCTGATGTTGAGTTT